TAATTATGCACAAGGCTTCTTGTAGGGTTTGTTTTCTTTTTTATTATTTTTTTCTTTTTATTTATTTATTTTCTTTATTGATTTGAGAGAGGAAGGGAGAAGGAGAGAGAGACGGAAATATTGATGAGAGAGAACATCAACTGGCTGCCTCCTGCATGCCACCTGTTGGGGATCGGGCCCAAAACCTGGGCATGTGCCCTGACCAGGAATTGAACTGGCGACCTCTTGGTGCATGGGTCTACGCTCAACCATTGAACCACACGAGCTGGGCAGGTTTGTTTTCTTAATGAATTAGAATCTACTTTGGCCTGGCCCATGTGACTCAATGGTTGAGCATTGACCCATGCACCAAGGGATCGCTGGTTTGATTCCTGGTCAGGGCACATGCCCAGACTGTGGGTCTGTTTCCCAGTGAGGGTAGTGCAGGAGGCGGCCAATCGATGTTCTCTCTCATCGATGTTTCTGTCTCACTCTCCTTCTCCCTTCCTCTCTCAAATCAATAAAGAAAAAAAAAAGGAACAACTCTGTCCTTTAAATAGTCACTTGATTCTGTGCTAGGGACAAATGTTGTTAAGAAATTTTCTTTGGTCTAATGTAATGGTAGAGCCAGTGGGCTTGTTTGGCTGAAGTTGGCATTCGGAGCCCAGGTTACTGGGTGGGTCCCTGGAAGGGCCAGAGACACTCCACTAAGAGTCAGAAAATGCATCTCTGACCACAGCTGTAACTAGGCTTGCTCCCTGCGTGTTCAGGGTTCTGTAGTATTAGGTGAGGTAACCACGTGACAGTACTACACCAATGCTGTTACTGATCAGATGGATCACATGCTTCTCTGCAGCTGGTGAGATGAACTTTCTGCCTCTGATGATAGGACAACAGAGAGCACTGCACACCTCAGAACTATTTCTATGTCTTGTTTTGTTTTTTATCTTCACCCGAGGACATTTTTGCATTTATGCTCAGATAGAGCGGGAGGGAGAGAGGGAGGAAGAGAGAGAAACATCGATGTGAGAGAGACACATTGAATGGCTGCCACGCACATGACCCCAACCAGGGCCGGGGACAAACTGTAATCCAGGTACGTGCCCTTAGCGGAACCAAACCCAGGACTCTCTGGTCTGTGGGCTAACGCTCTAACCGCTGAGCCAAACTGGCCAGGACTATTTCTATGGTTTTAAAACAAGGGCAGTATGCCCTGGCCAGATAACTCAGTTGGTTAGAGCATCATCCCGATAGGCCAAGGTTTCAGGTTCCATCCCTGGTAAGAGCAATTACAGAAGTCACCCAATGAATGCATAAATAAGTGGAACAACAAATCAGTGTTTCTCTCTCTCTCTCTCTAAAAATCAGTTAATAAAAAAAAATTTTTAAAGGCATTGTAATAAATATTGTATAGGTAATTTACACAGTATATACACTTGAATTTCCTCTAACGCCTGCCTGCTAGTACTTCTCACAAAACAGTCCTTGAGCTTTAAAGAGACCAGACTGCAGATCCCATCCAGACTGCAGATCCCATCCAGACTGCTTTTATCTCAACAGACTTCTGTGGGAAGCTCACGTTTCAGACTGTGGAGTGAGTGTGAAGTTGTAAAATGCTTAAAAGCTGGGCTATTTGTTGTGCTTTGAAGGACCACGGGGCAGTATGAACATGATCCTGAGAGGAGAGGGCTGTTGGAAGTGCTGGCCTGTTTCAGTCCAAAGGAGCACTTCAAGAAGAGATTTAACACGATCTTTAGGACCGCAGGCTTCCCCTCGCCCAAAGTGCAGCTCACCTCCGCGGGGGGCGTGTGTGGGGTGCAGGCCTTGAACTGCCTTTTCAGCTCGTGGTGCAGAAGTGGTTTCTCACTGGCAACCACAGGACGGCCAGTGACGCGGAACTTCGAAGTCTCCTCCTCCCCAACATCCAGATAAAGTGAAAGTAAATAGGCGCTTGGAAAATTACTAGTGTTTTTCCTCGCCAGGCACAGGGCGGTGGGAAACCTGTTGCATCTCCGTTCCTTTGGGCACCGCCTGTGCTCACCGCGGGCCATAGCAGAGCTCCCGGGTTTTCTGTAGGACCCTCTTAGCACAGACTTCAGACGGTTGTCTGCTCATGGTTGCTCTAAAAGGAGCAGGCATCTGCGAAGGCTTTGTGATCCACCTTAATTTCCATTTCCATGACAAAGATAATTTATTCTTGAACTGAAATGAGACATTTATTCACCCCAAGTCTATTCATCTCAGGCAGTTACGTGCTTTTCCTGAGAGGAACCGGCTCATTTCCTATAGTGCCCTTCCTGCCTTCAGCTTTAACTACTATCAATATTTTTCTGTTTGGGGAATTTTAGTTTGAACAGCAGCGATAAGCCACCTTTTGAGAGGAGATTAGATTTTTTACTTTGCAACAAGGTTTACATTCAAACATTCCTATTTCTGGTTCTTGAAAACATAACAGAGGCTGAACTAAGACATTACAATGGTTAATACAAACTGCTAGCCTCAGCGTTTGTCTCCATTTCTTTCGTAACTGAGCCTCAAAGACAGTTGGCATGCTCGTCCCCACTGGGTTTAACTGTTTGGTGGATAATGATGTTCTACATGGAGGGTTTCAAAGGCTGGAACCCAGGAAGAAAAAGGTTTGATAAATTAGAATGTGAGCTCTATGAGAAAAGGGATTGGCTGTGTTCCTCCGCTGTATCAAAGGTGCAAAGAACAAAGCCTGGCTCATGAAGAATGCTCAATGAATATTTGTTGTGTAACTGGGAAGAGAAGTATTTTGCCTATATAGAGCTAAGCTATTCTCAAACACTGTCAAAACCATGTACCAATAGCTGCCACTTATAACATTTTGAGGTTAGCATTTCTTCATTCAAAGGTGTTGGCATATTTAACTATTTTTTGAAAAAAACAACATGTATATGAGAATATATCTCTCTCTATATATGTATGTGTGTATTCAATTTTTTTGTCTGTTTAACCAAAAGGTTATTTTCTAAATATTTATGAAGCAACTGAAGTATAAGACGAAGCATATATAGTTATGAGGAAGATCATGTTGAGATGAATCAAATGGACCCTGCCTTGAAGATGCTCAAGATGAATCTGATAGGGAAATAGACAAACGTGCTCACGTGCGTTGTACAGAGAAAGCCACGGAGGAAGCGGATCCAGGAGCCTGCCTGAGTTCCAGGGAGGACTGCAAGGAGGGAAAGGGCAGTGTCAAATGCATCTCTATATCCTTGTTGCCTGGCAGAGTAGACAGATATTCCCATTTGTCAAATTAATGACTGAATGCATTCACGGATAAAGAAATTACCTATTCCTCATAATTGAACCTGAATCCTTGAGTTTAAAATAAAGAAGAAAAAATGTGGTGTTTCTGTGGATTAAAGGAAAAGACCACATCTAAATCAGGGAGGGTGGAAGAAATCAGGGGTGCTGAAGGAGGTGAGGATGAAGAGCAACTTTCCAGGCCCAAGGGATGAAATTAGTAAAGGTGTGGAGGGGGAGGGGAGATGGAGAGCCCTGGGAGGAGTAAGTGGCCAGATGCAGTTGCCACCGGGTGTGGTGGGTGGGAGGTGGGTGGAGCTTGAGCCTAGTACTGTGGCAGGCTGCTCTAGAGGAGTGGATTGCATAGGGAAGGCAGGCCAAGGGGTTCCCCCTGCGGCAGCATCCTGGCCTAGGAGATGAGGAGTACTGGGACCATTAACCCAGCACTGCTGGGAAGCTGGACAGAAGAGGATCTGACTGAAAAGGCAGTGAGACCCTTTAGCTTTTCTATTCCAGTTGGAAACAAAAGCCACAAGAATCTTATTAGTAGATAGCAGAGGGATTAAAAAAAATTCCAGAGACTTGAAAAACTGGAATGGAAAGGCAGGTGGTTAATTAGACACAGGGCTGGGGGTGGGAGTCTAGAGAGAAGGAAGAATGAAAAATGACTTCAGGTCCAAGCCTAAGTGACTAGGGAAAATCATCTTTTCACAGGAACAAGTGGCAGGAACAGCCATTTGTATTGAGGATGGAAATGTGGGAGTGAAGTTAGATTTAAACAAGTCTTAGGTACAAAGAAGACAGTCAGCTGGGGATGTCCAGCAGGTGGTTGAAAACCTGGTGGTGATTATCTAGTGGCTGAGCAACAGATTTTTTAAAATGATGTATTTATTTGAATAGGTTATACTACTGTCACTTTTGGTTGAGTGAAAATTAATTCTCCTTCCTACTGTTGGTTGCCTCTTTTCTCTCTCCAGAGGCAGCCACAGACTCCAGTTTCTTGAGTATGATTCTGAAGATACTCTGTGTGTGTGTGTGTGTGTGTGTGTGTGTATACATATGTTTCTGTCCCCAGGAAGGTTTTGTATTTTTGTTTTTTAAAGGCTAGAGAAGACTTGTGTGTCTTTGAGACAGAAGGACAAGAACAAGGAGAGGTAGAGATTAAAGAAGCAATTAAAGCCCTAACCGGTTTTGCTCACTGGTTAGAGCGTCGGCCCGCGTACCAAAGAGTCTGGGTTCGATTCCAGTCAAGGGCACGTACCTCGGTTGCAGTTCAGTCCCCAGCCCTGGTCGGGGTCGTGTGGGATGGAGGCAGCCAATCGATGTGTCTCTCTCACGTCGATGTTTCTCTCCCCCTCCTACTCTATATGAAGATAAATGGAAAAAATATCCTCAGGTGAGGATAAAAAAAAAAAAAGAAGCAATTAAAAAGGAATTACTGAACCACAGTCGTAGAGAAGGTAAGAGCGGACAGAATCAGTGCTGGACTAGGAAGGGCAGGTGGGCGGCAATGTGGTTTCCGACGCCGCACCACTTGTCCGGCCCGCCCCCCGCTGCTGTGCGGAGATGCACGGAGTGGTGGATGGGTGGCTGCCGGAGTGGGGCAGAAAAGATGTGAGACAGCCACTGTGGACACAGAAAATATCATAAAACTGTCAGATCTAGACAATCAAAAAAGGTTTATTTTGACGATTTATAAAAGAAATATCACCATTGCAACTTGAAGCTATTTACAAATTTAAAAATAAATTTACAGAAATTATTCACATATTACATTAAGCAGTTTTATTAAAATGGTACAGGTAGTGTTGAACAAATGCAACACAACATAAACCAAGTTTTAAATCACATAAATGCCCTCAAAGCATGTTCAATAACCACTGAAAGATGGTCCAGGAAAAACTGGAAAAATACGATTTCAGGAATCAGTAGAAAGATGATTTTCACCTTTACATCACAACTGGTCTCAGGAGATGTGGTCTTTACAAGTCACTGAAACCTTAAACTGCAACCAGAATCTTACATTTGGATAAACAACTGGTATAATTCATAGAATATAGGACTTGGAATTTACACTGTGATCTCCTCAAAGGTAGTTTTAATCAAGGATGATATTATTTGTGGTTAATTGGACATTACACTTTACTTTCCTAGGTTATATGCCAATCAATATTCCTGGGAGGGGAACGTCTGAGGATTCATCAGAACCACGGCTGTGCATCTCAATGCTCCTGCCTACTCAGGGCTTTATCTACACGTTAACAGCCCCCGGGGGAAGAACACCATCCAAAGTTTTGGCCCTGAGCCTGGTCTTGGCTGCTGCCGCTGATAACTGCTGGGCACTGCCCCTGAAGCCAAGAAGGGAATGCTTGGCAGCTGCCCGGGCCTGCTTCCCTCAGCCCGCTGCCAGGCCAGAGTATAGAAGGGCCGGCAGCTCCATGAAGATATTCAAGTTTAAGACTAAATGTCAGGGATTGCTGATGACAAATGATTTTCATGAGGAAAATGCCTAAAAATAGGTGTTTACCAAGACCTGAGATTTATTATGTAGTTTAATTAAGCAAAGGTACAGAGGAGTCCACTTCAGCTCATTCCTAGGGACGGCCCTTAAAATAAACAGAACTCCCCTACTTCACATTGCTGACCTGCAGCCAGGTATGCGACCCTAAAGGACAAGGCCCAGCATACATGTTTTTAATAACTAAAAATAGCAAATTTTACTACTCTGGCCACTAGTAATATTTCATGATTACAAGCCTTAAAAATTTAATACACATACAATTTTTTCTTGTATATAGAATGCTTACACATTAAAATATCAAAGGCACTTTTAGGTTACATGATAGACAAAAATACATGAATAGAGACAGGATTTTTTGGTTCCTTCAGTTTCTGTGTCCGTGGTGATCGAGGGCCCAGTTCTGCACTTCACCTTTAGCGAAGAGTGTGAAGACAATGGCACCAAATATGTTAATAGCAGCAGCGATCCAGAAAACAGTTTGCCATTCTTTAATAGTGTTCTATGGAGAAAGAAAGAAAAAAAAAACGCACATGCAAGTTTCTTGTTTGTAGTCTACTTTATAAAAAGGTGGTGTCACAAGACTGTTACAATGGTAACATTATTCATAAAAGAAATAAGCCCAGCCCTGGCTGGTTTGGCTCAGCGGTTAGAGCGTTGGCCTGCGGTCCTGAGAGACCCGGGTTCGGTTCCCGCTAAGGGCGCGTACCTCGGTTGCAGTTTGTCCCCAGCCCTGGTTGGGTTGTGTGGGTGGCAACCACTTGATGTGTCCCTTTCACATTGATGTTTCTCTCTCTCTCCCTCCCTCCCATTTTATCTGAACAAAATATCGAAAAATGTCCTTGGGTGAGGATAAAAAAAAAAAAGAAAGAAAGAAGCCCAGCGTCCAGTAGCAGTGAGGCTGTAATATATTTGTTCAATGGAATATTAGACAGCAATGAGAACGAATGAGTTACAACAACACAGATACATTTCACAAACAAAATGTTAAGCAAAAGAAGCCAAACACAAAAGAGTACACTCATGGAGAATTTATATAAAGCTTAAAGAATCAGACAAAACTAATCTATATGTTAAAAGTGGGTGTTCTTGGTAGGAAGGGGTACCTGGGGGCTTTGCAAGGGAGGTGTAATGTTCTGTTGGGTGCTGGTTACACAAATGTACTAACTTTTTGAAAATTCACTCAGCAGTATACTTAGGATATTCTGCTGCTAATATGTATTTCAAAAATACATATTAACCCTGGCCGATTTGGCTCAGTGGTTAGAGTGTTAGCCCACGGACCGAAGGGTCTTGGGTCGATTCCTGCTCAAGGGTACGCACCTGGGTTGCAGGTTCCATCCCCAACCCCAGTTGGGATTGTGCAGGAGGAAACCAATTGATGTTTCTCTCTCACACCGATGTTTGTCTTCCCCTCTCTCTCTCCTTCCCTCCTTTCATTCTGTCTAGAAATCAATGGAAAAATATCCTCAGGTAAGGATCAACAAAAAACAAACAAAAATACATGTTATACTTCAATAAAAATTTTACTAAAAATGTGTGGCATGTCCTTGAGTCAAACATTACGAGGCAAGTGTTATGTCTGCATATCATCTCCCAAGTTCTTAGGTGGAAAGGTCAGGAGCAAATCAAGTAAGGACAAATTAAGACGGACGTAAAGTTTGAGGCCTGGCTGGAAAGATTCTGCATGGCTCTTGAATGGCACCCAAAACAGGACATGCACTGGATTTGTCAATAAGAGATCAATAAAATTGTTCAGTGTACAGTCCACTGGTATAAAAACATCAGGCAGTTATCTAAATTTCTGGGTCACATAACTAACTTTAACAATCATTTTTTGGAATGTAACTAACTTTAACAATCATTTTTTGGATTTTTATGATTTCAATCTAACCACAGTGTTACATTTGCAACATGAAACAAGCAAACACACACACACACACATAACCCAGTAAAATTGGCAATAAGAAAGAAAAAAAAAGCAGTAGAAAGCTAGTATAAGGTCGTTTACTTAGGAAAATAGGAAATCAGGAAGAGAGGAGCACTGTGTGGTTGTTATACTTAATCTGAGATGAATGTATTTTGGTGAAAAAAATCTTAGCAATCCACCTGAAATTTTAGGGACTCTTTAGCTATGCTAACAGTGTGTCACCGTCCTGGAGGAGGAGTCAGTCAGTAATTACATCAGGTACCAGAAAGAACTGCTTATGAAAACTTCTTAGGATCCCTGACACCAAGCTTCTTCGTATGATTTCTGGGATAAAATAATACCTCATTATTAGGAGGCAATGGGTGACTTAAAATCAAGTGTACCAGAAATCTCACACAGGTCCTAGTTGGCTTTAAAAAAAACTCCACTAGATAAACCACAGAACTTATATGCATGAATGCATAACCAATGGACATGGACAACAAAGCCTGGGACAGGCTGGTGGGGGTGGGGGTGGGGGGAGGGGGGAGGAGGGTGTCAATGGGGTAAAAAAGGAGAAACATCTGTAACAAAAATAAAATTAAAATTAAAAAAAAAACAACTCCACTAGTTTTTAGAGAATGCTATTTTGTTTGTAACAAAACGGAATCTCAGACACACTTTGAGTTTTAATTATTTTTTATACTCTGACTCATTCCACAAAGTTTTTGAGGAAATGCAGTAAATTTTAATTGTAAGTGATCATAATTGTAAACAGCAAATATATTTTTCCTTTTTAAAAATAACATCCTTTAATAACACTCAACAGATGTTTTAATTACATATCCAAAATCCAGTTCAGTTCCCACTTTACAAACATTCAAGACTTTAATTCAGGAATCCGTGTTTTCCAGCATCAGCACTAGGAATATCATAAAGTGACATTAACACATGGTAGTGTGTTGACTTTCTTTTGTTGTCACAATGTTCGATGAAGATAAGGTTAAACATTCTGATGAGTCTATATAGAGACACAGAGTTTTGGGAAACACTTTCCTAACACACCTTTCTATTATGTGAGAAAACAGTGATGAGGGGACTGACTCATTTAAGTAAGGGATTAGAGATGGTGGGAACAGAGATGAAATAGAAACAGTATCTGTGGTAAATACACACGGGTCTGACATCAGTATATTTGGTAATAGGAAAGTTTGTAAGCATATCCTGAAATTCTAAGAATTAGTGTTAATTTGATCACAGAGACAAAAGAGAATTAAACCTCTAGTTTAAGTCAGCTTCTTGAAGAATGTATTTCACCAGCCCTTTAGATAATTTTAAAGAGCAGAAAACGAGTTAGAAAGGGCAGTTGAGGTCATTTATTTTGATTTCTAACACAATGTAGGAAATCTTTCCTGTTGCAGAGTCTCTGCTTACTGATCTAGCCGCAGGCTGCCAGCTGCAGGCCGGCCACTCTGCCCCCCCTCCCCCCAGGGCTCAGGGCCTCTGCACAGGCTGGAGGCAGCTCTTCCCACAGCCTGGCCACTCCCCTAGCACTCGAGCTCCACAGACGGTTCTTTCCTCTGTGCCCAGAGCACTCGGCACATTGTCCTTTATTTGATTTCATATGATCTCTAAATGATGATTTTCTCAAGTGCAGAAACTTGTCATTTTTTGCCTTTGAATCCTCAGTATCTGGCATATTAATAAGCACCAAAGAAATGCCTTCTGAATACATGTTTGACTGTTTCAGAGCTCACCAATTCATAAGGCAGCCCCTCCCACAGAGCAACAGCTTTAAACAAGAAACCTCCTATTGTGTCCTCACCACATCCCTCCTCCGTCTTGGTGGGACTGCTGAGAACAAGTCACCATCTTTCATATGGTGGTCCTTTGAGCATGTGACACTTATGTCCTCCCAAGCCTGCTGCTTCTCTAAACATTCTCAGTTATTTCGACAGTTCTGTATTAATTTTCACATGAGTTCCTGACACCTTACCTTCATGCATCCCATTCTTGAATAATTATACATTACCAATTTCTTATTCATTCAAATACAATACTCAAGTCACTTATCTGTTATAATAGCACAACTTTTAAGTACTGGTGTAGTTTCAGCTCTAAGATCTTTGTTTAACATCGTTCTATTATTCTGTCTAAAATCCAAAGAATGTTCTTTGAAAATATACATTCCTACCCTTTAAGACCTTTACCTTTTGTTGCTATAAGAAACTGTCTAAAAATAAACATTCAGAATTTTACCCTTAATTAAAATACACTCAACTTTGATACAGATGTGTAGCTTCTAGTGAACTGTTTAGAACTTTTCCGTTTATAAATTAATTATCTACTTACCTCAGGGGTCAGACTTTTAGCAATGACAGGCCCAACCATTCCTGGAATAGTGGCGAATGTATTTGTGATGCCCAGGAGGATACCAGCATACCTGTAGAAACATTTTCATTCAGGTTCACATCGTATCATACATTCAAGTAGCTGTATTCTTATAAAATTTTATGTCTAAATGAAATGCCTTACTGGAACAGGACACTACTGAAATGTTTAGCTGGTGAAAAACTGCATTCTAATAGTTAACTAGCATTCTAACATTATTTAAACATGGCCATTAAAATAAATCCCTTTTATAGTGATATATAAAAGTGCTGAGATATGATTTTCATACATGAGCATATCTAGATAGGAAGCTTGATCTGTCTTAAATTTCTTCTAAGTTAAAAAGTTTATTTCCTAATTACAAAATGTTTCATTGTTGAAAACTTAAGAAAAAGAAAAACATTAAGAACATAAAATGATCTATAACCCTTCTATATATAGATAACATTTTGGTAAATGTCCTAATTATTTTTTCTGTATAGATATATTTCTAATATATTGTTGTAGAAATGAGATCATATTGAACACCAATTTTACAACTTACTTGCTCCACTTATTACATATCTACCTATAGTTAAATCCCTGTGCACTGTCCCAGATGTAGACAATTGGGTCTATAGTGTGTGTGTAAGTGAGACAAAAAATGCATTTTTAAAAGCTCAGAAAAAGTCCTGATTTATTTTAAGGGTAAATCTTAAGGGAGTGGGATATTCTTATACATGTTTACATGCAAATCTTTAAAGAATTCCTGCCTATATTTGGGAAATGCTAATGATCTGTTGATTTCTCCAGTACATAAAAAATGTATATAGACTAAACAAGGCTACCATAGCCAAGATCTTAGGTAACATCCTAAAAAGAATGACAAGCTTATCACTTTCTATTAAAAAATCATATTGGACTTGTAATCAGGAGACCTAAAGATTCCTACCTAGTTCCACCATTAACCATCTGTGCAACCCTGGGCAAGTTAGTGATAGATTATTTCCCTTATCATTGATGGGTTTATAGATGTATACAGGTAAAATATCTGGTGGTCCCAGCTGAGCACCTGCATATCCCACCAAGTATATGAAAAGAAAAATTTTAAGGGCAACATACATACGAAAACCTTGCACACCTACACTGATGATTTAATGCTTTCTGTAGTCTTCTGCCTGATGTGCAATGGCCTAGCCCTGGTTCATCTACCCAGCCTTGTTTTCTAGTACCAGACAGTATAAAACTTCAGGTACAGACAGCTCTCATTCTAGTTGCTCACTCTGCTATGCTCATTCCTGGTACTTATCTTTATTCATACTAGATTCATTATCCCAAATCCTCACTCTGTCCATCCAAACCACTTACTTGGCACCTGGGATGAAGCTTTCTCTGTCTAGTTTGGCTCATACTGAGCTCTGTCTTCACAGAATCTTTATTGCCATTAGAGCTAGTACTACATGTTTTAAGAGGTAACTGTTCTCTAATTCATGTTTGCCAATTCTGATTCCATAGTCTCACTGCAAACTCATGTTTTACTCCCCTTTATTATTTCCAGTGGCCAGTACAACATATGCACTCATTCAATACACGTTGACCAGAGAAGGTGCACATGACCCAGTTGTTCGAGGCCCCTTCCATGCACCCATAGGGCTCTGGCTACACTGACTGTTGGGGCCCCTGTCCCATGGAGACTGGCACCCCTCTTGGGCATTGGCCCCAAAGTGTGACAATCCCTGATCAAGAATTTCATATAAATGGAATTATATAGTATGCAACCTTTTGAATTACATATTAGGGCTGCTGAGCATCACTCCAAGTTGTGTGGATCAATAGTTTGTTCCCTTTTTATCATCCTCTAACTGAAGGAACTGGGATTTTATGCTGTAGATAGCCTACTTTCTGCATTTTGTAGATTGCTTCCCTGGGGTATCATTTAACATAGTAATATGTCCCCTGTATTTCCTGTACACTGGTAGTATCTAGAGTATAGATCCTACAGGGTTCATTAGATTTAGGTTTGATATTTTTAGCAAGAAAACTTTAAGGTGTTGGTGTAGTTAAAAATCAGTTAAGTAAATGGCATCTATTATTTTTCATAGAAATCACATACACATAGGAAAAGTCCAATTAGAGCTTTTAATTTTTATGATAGGGTTATAAAATAAAATTACAGTAAAAATTGATGAAGCTTGATGTTTATTACTTTTATAATCTTTTTTTTTAAATTGATTTTTTTTTTTTTTTTTTTGAGAGAAAGAGGAAGGGAGAGAGAGAGAAACATCCATGTGAGAGAGATACACCTCCGGCTGCCTCCTGCATGCCCCCTACTGGGGATCAAGCCCGCAACCTGGGCATGTGCCCTGACCAAGAATTGAACCAGGACTGCTCAGTCCATGGGATGATGCTCATCCACTGAGTCACACTGGCTGGGCAGTCTTTTAATCTTTAAAGAAATTTTTTTATTGATTGATTTTAGAGAGAGGAAAAAGCAGAGAGAGGGAGGGGGAGAGAAAGAGAGAGAGAGAGACATCGATTTGTTGTTCCATTTATCTATGCATTCATTGGTTGCTTCTTGTATGTGCCCTGACCAGAAATTGAGATGACACTCTAACCAACTGAGCTACCCAGCCAGGGTTAGTTTGTATAATCTTAATGTTGGAGAATACTATTTCTATTAGGGTTTAAGATCATCAGTACCTTGCCTGCAGATCACTGATCTGAAATTCCTCTCCCCTTTTTAGATATGGAAAAGTGCCTGCTAAGGATTGTGTCCTCCCAAAATTCATATATTAAAGTCCTAATCCCCAATGTGACTGTATTTGGAGACAGGGCTTTAGGAGATCATTAAGGTTAAATGAGACAAGGGTGGGGTCCTAACACAATAGGATTGGTGGCCTTATAAGAAAAGGGAGAGAGAGAGATGCTCTCTTGATCTTGGTGAGGAAGTACTGAGGAAATACCACATGAAGACATGAAGATGGTGACTCAAGCCAGGAGGAGTCCTCACCAGAACCTGCTCATGCTGGCACCATGATCTTGGACTTCCAGCCTCTAGAACTGTGAGAACATAAATTTGTTTTTTAAGATACCCAGTCTATTTTGTATGGCAGCCTCAGTTGACTAATACAGTGCCTGAATAAAAAACCCTGTTGAACCGAATCCAATTATGTATGAACATCAAAAATTTTTATGTTCAAAACTCATGCATACGGGATACAATAACAAAACCATGTGGCACAGATCTTTTTGGCTTATGCCCCTTAGGGAGTGTATCTTAAATTAACCAAGCTTGGCAGAACCTGTCTTTTTTTTTTTTTTTTAAACCATTAACACCTTGGCAGTAGGAGTAAATGACTGCAATGTTGCCAGGCTTTTTCAGTGACAGATATTAAGTGCAGATGAACGTTGTGAAATTCTAAATGTCAGCACCAAGAAACTCATTCAAGTATTTATATTACACTAGGCCAGGAAGGGCCATGAAAGATTGATGACTGCTTGGAAAAAACTTGTTGTATGGACTTAGTCTAGATTCTTTGCTATTAGAGTATTAGAATTCTGGGAGATTAACAGTTAAGAATCTACCCAATTCCCTTGAATCTGGGCAACAAAATTATCCATAGAAAATCCCTATTTCAGTCTATAGAAGAAAAGGCTTAGAAAATACCATGTGCGTATTTATATGTTAATAGAACACTGTTTATTGCAAAACCATATGTCAGGCACGGTTCTAAATATATATATTTAATAAACTATATAGATATAATTCCATTTGAATAGTAAACTCAACCCCATGAGGGGTGATTATTATCTTCATTCTATAGATGAAGAAAGATTATAACATGTTACCCAATTTGTCTGTTTCTAAATCAGTACTTACTATTTAAATATTATAATCTATAATGCTGCCTTATTAAGAACATAACCATTACTGAGTTTAGTCTGTAGGAAAGACCAATTTTCCCATTCTTAATTTTTCACTACACGCCTCAGTGCTGAACACTTAAAGGTCTGAGGGGCTCAGTGTTGTTCCAACCAGCAGTGTCATTCACTGCATGGGCACTCACTGGTGACCAAAGACAAAAAAACAACTATGCAACACTGTCCTAAGACACATAATCCCCAAGTTAACCAAGACACAGGGAATTAGAAACAACTATTATGCTTTGAACAAAGAAAATTCTAGCAGGAAAATAAAAACCAAAAACTCATCTGAAGGATTGAATCAAAATATAATGGAGAGAAATAATTTTGACTTCGATGAGATTTATAATTTTACAGCTGTATAATTTGAAAAGTTACATGTTGTTCATACATACATACATACATATATATGTACATATGGTGATCACAGCCATACACTTTGTACCCAGGTCAGCTTAGAGCACATAGAGCATTCTTCACTATCCAAGGCCTACAGGCACTTACCGTCCTCCTAACTTCTACAACTATTTGCTGGCATCATTTATGTCACTGAAAGGTTTAGCTTCATACCATGTCTAGATAAATGTCTTTTTTGACTTATAAGACTCACAAAATGCTAGGGCTGGACCAGGGTCTTTAAGATGTAGAGTTCAAGCACTCAGCTTATGGTTGAAGCCCAGTTGTAGGACCCCGCCTGCAGGTTGTTAAGTATGTACTTCGGGGCATGACCCTATCACCCTCCAGGCCAGCATATGCTTACACGAATGCAATCAGGGAGCATTACTTTCATATTTCTCTTCAACATTTGTTACAGTGCCTGGCACAGTGCTTGTGAGAGGACTGGATTCATTAATCAGCTTGCTGGGACACTAAAAATTCATAATTGCAAATCTACCTAATTGTATATCTAGTTCATTTTCTTCCTTCCTGTTCAAAATGACACATTGAAAGATCTTGTTTGAATCCTGATATACCAAATATACTGTGGTTCCTCTATGTATGAAGCTAAAAATGACATTAGGTTCATTAGAGGTATTAGACTATTTTGCTATCTTGGTTCTTAGTAATCCAGTAGTGGCTTCCTTAGTGATCAATATTTTCTTTTCTAAGAGCTCACCAATGACCCCTTTAATATTTTACTTGGATTGA